GCTGTTGGCCCGTCCTACGTCCGGGAATCAAGTAGGTAGTTGAAATAAAAGTGATATTTTGCCTACATCAGTGCACCCAAACGTAACCACACTAGAACACATGCCAAACAATGTTTTAGATTTTACAAAAGAATGGTAAGTCTAATTGCAGTATCCTAGGTCAATAACATTGTGATAACATTGAATTTGAAACTAGATAACCCGTTGCTCTAAATAGAGCAAAACTGAAACTTGTATTGAAAGAATAAACAAAAAACATAAACAGCAAGACCTTAATCTAAAATAATTGATATGACTAATTATGGAATATATCAAATATTATGATGTAAAAAATATAAAAGTAATCTACAATATTTAAATTCACATTCACACTCATACTGCTTTGGTTATCTCTTATGTATAGTAGGGTTATAGTAGTACGTTTTCTGTGATAGTAGGCGGGTGCACTCTATCAGCACGGAGATGTCAACCACCACACACTGTAAAGTGAGCTTTTGACCTAATGTAGCTCAATTCCTCTCTTGACGCCAACCATTGCTACTCTTATTCTAGCATTGTTAAATTATTTCTACGATATGTTCTGTTTTAGGAGTGTTTAAATTAGGGGTCCCAACCAAAATCTCTGGTTGGGAACATAATAGGGTAAGCAAATGTATCTAACGACAGATCTAGAATGGATACGCGTTTAACATTATTAGTATTGGAAAAAACTATATGATTTATTTGGCCAGGTGGTGCTTTGTTTTCAGCTTTAAAAATTGCTGTGACATCTACACAGGTAGCACCATTGTAGCGAGGGAAGACACTTCTTCGGTCTCTTATTTCAATTTTTCTCCAGACCTTTTTAAAGAGCTTAAAAAAAACAAATAAGTTAGTATACCAAAGGGTTTTTGTACAATGAATGGTTACGGAGAAAATTCAAAAAATGTAAAATTCCCATGTTATTCTTATGAAGAATGTTGCAGTTGGCTTGTTTATGGATATATTTTGATCAAACTTTGAGGATTTATTTATTTCATACTAAGCTATTGATATTTTAATAAACAACACACTTTATTAGTTTCCCTGTAGCAGCTAACCTATATACTCGTTAAAGATCAATTTTAGTTTAATAGATTAATTGAAAATCAATCCAGGCAAATGGAAATTCGCTTAGTCGGTAGGTTTGCTGCAGCGGGAAGCGGGGGTATTTATCCAAATGCTGAATTGTATCAAAAACGCTGAATGTATACAGCTGTTAAGTTAAGCAAATGGTTTTTTACTAAAAGCCAATTCTAGAATGTTAGCGTCGGGTGATAGACTTTTTTAAAGTTAAAACTTAATTTCTAAAAAACTGAAACTGAAGAACTAAAATTATGGCTTCCCTAGTTCTCAAAATTATATTTCTTTTGACACAATAAATAAATAAAAATAAACAAATAAAAAACACTGTCACGTTTTAATATATATGATGATGATGATAAGGAACTGAATGTGATATTTTTAAGGAGACATTATAGTGTAAATCCATTCAGGCAAATGGAAATTCGCTTAGTCTGCAGGTTTGCTGCGGCGGAGGTATTTTAAAACTTGTACGCACAAACGTAAAGTGTATAACAGTATAGGAATGGTCTATCTATAAAAATAGAACAGAGTAAAGATTTTAAACTGCAAAATACCCATGGCCTCCCTCCCTCTCACCGTTCCCTTGTCGTAATACATGTGTCCGCAATGTTCCACCCTTGAAATATTTGCTGAGTCCTGCCAACCCCTTGTCAGGTAGCAGTTGTTGTTGTAGTGGAATTCTCTCGGTTTTTCATTCGACTGAAAAAAAAAACACTGGTTTTAAAAACAACCGATTGACAAATTGACTAGTCGATAGTTTTTCCAGTCGGTTGTCCCATCACTATACTAGTACAAGCGCTAAGCTGTCTGCTTGAGTCCAGACACCAGACATATCGCAGACGCGCCGGCACGGCAATGTCTCGTCACTACCGCGGAGCGCTGGGCAGGGCACTGAGCTGATTCGAACGAAGCGTTGCAGTGAGATCGGCGACTATCCTCTAGTACCGAGTGACTATCACTGTACTTAGGGGCTACCCCTAACTGTAATTCAATTAAATACCCCCGCCGCAGCAAACCTGCAGACTAAGCGAATTTCCATCTACACGGCTGGAATTCCACTAAATTATTCCCTTAAAATTGTCAGATTTATTTCCTATTTAAATATCATTAATACTGATGAGTACTTAGGTTATCTGCTACAGGGAAGAAAATAGGGGGTTTTTATTGAAATATTAACAGCTTATAATGAAGTAAACAAAATTTCATTAAAATATGTCCATAGACAAGCAAGCTACAACAGTGTATTTATTCTCCATAAGAATAACATGGTAATTTTAAATTTACACTATTTTGCGATTTTTTCCGTAACCGTTAGGCATGCAACAATGCTTCAGTATACTAAATTATTTGTTTTTTTGAGCTCTACAAAGTGGTTTGGAAAGAAATTGCAACATTTTTTGATTTCAGGGTGAAAAATGAGAAAAACCCATTTTTACCCCATAAAACCCCCCATTACCCCTGTTCCCATAGTCCGATCATGCTGGTTCGCGAACTCGTTCGAATAAATGTAAGTTTACACGTTTAAACCAAATTTCATCAAAATCGGGTCACTTTTGCTCGAGTTATCGCGCTAACGGACACACGCACATATATATATATACACACAATTGTTTAGATTAAGGGCTACTATTATAAATAATGGGGATAGCATATTAACTCAGTACCCTGAAAGGTTTGTGTTTGAAGTGAGGTTAAATGTTACTCTTGTAAATGGCCTAAAGGTCGAAACATGTAGAGTTTTAAAAATAAAAATAATTTCAGGGTACTGAGTTAATATGCTATCCCCATTATATATATATATATATGAATTTGAACGGATGGTGTTTTTGGCCTCTGGGGACCTCAAAACGAAAAAGTAAAACGGTCCCGGGTCCAGGTCTTACCATGAGACCTACGGTAATAGCTTATTCCCTATATGGGAAATTCGTTAAAAAAGAGTATTGTTTATTAAAATTGTTTTTGCAAGACTACGTCGCTGTGAAACAGTTAAAAAAAAATATTTTTTTATTATAACTAATTTTTTTTTATTGATTTTTTGGCTTTTGGAAGCCCCCTTGAGGCGGAGGCCCTCGGGGTTCGCCGACCAGCCGCCCTGGCCAGACCGGGCCTGAGCGGGGGTATTTATCCAAATGCTGAATTGTATCACAAACGCTGAATGTATACAGCTGTTACGTTAAGCAAATGGTTTTTTACTAAAAGCCAATTCTAGAATGTTAGCGTCGGGTGATAGACTTTTTTAAAATTAAAACTTAATTTCTAAAAAACTGAAACTGAAGAACTAAAATTATGGCTTCCCTAGTTCTCAAAATTATATTTCCTTCGACACAATAAATAAATAAAAATAAACAAATACAAAGCACTGTCACGTTTTAATATATATGATGATGATGATAAGGAACTGAATGTGATATTTTTAAGGAGACATTATAGTGTAAATCCAATCAGGCAAATGGAAATTCGCTTAGTCTGCAGGTTTGCTGCGGCGGAGGTATTTTAAAACTTGTACGCACAAACGTAACGTGTATAACAGTATAGGAATGGTCTATCTATAAAAGTAGAACAGAGTAAAGATTTTAAACTGCAAAATACCCATGGCCTCCCTCCCTCTCACCGTTCCCTTGTCGTAATACATGTGTCCGCAATGTTCCACCCTTGAAATGTTTGCTGAGTCCTGCCAACCCTTTGTCAGGTGGCAGTAATCCATAGTGTCCGTTTTGCCCTCTTTAACGATGTGTCTTAAATGTTCCGTATCCGCTTTTGCCCGGCATTCGTTTTTCTTTGGTCCAGGGATGATACTATTAAAGGTCGGTAGAGAGTTAAAGACACACTATAGCTGAATAAAATTATTATTATACAATATTTAAACTATGTCGATTGTAGATTCATACCATACAAACTGGTTTATCTAACTCACTCATGTTACAATTATCAATAAAAGTGGTCCATTTAAGATCCCTTTTCATAAAATATTTTGTCTCTTGTCTGCAACTAGTTAAAATAGGTTAAAAATTCAACTGAAGGTAAAGAAGCTGTTAAATTTAAAATAACGTCTAAAAACGTTATAAATAATGTTGGTCAGCTGCACTATGGACCGTTGAAATGGCCTTTTTAAATAGATAGATAGCGTGTAGTACCAAACACTACAAACAGACCAAAGGCAAGGGGGGGGGGAGGCGAAGTCTAAAGGAAACTACCTTTTTCAATTGCCATTCGTCTTTACGCTGAATCGTAAACTTTAAAACGACACCTAGGTAGTGTAGTTCAGTAAGAAGGGCGAAATGGATGTTACAGAGAAACCCCCTCCTGTATTAAGTATATAGATAGAGATTATATATTTCCAATATAAATAGCCCCGCCAAAGCAAACCTGCAGACTAATCGAATTTCCACTTGTCTGATTACATTTTTACTAAAATATTTCCATAAATAAGACATTTTTATTCCCAATTTAAATAACATTAGATTTAACCAGTGCTCAGGTTTGCTGTTACGGGGAAGGTAAAAAGGATTTTTTGGCCATACGTCAATAGTATAGGATGAAATAAATAAATTTGTCACATTTTAGCGAATTTCCCATATAGGGAATAAGCTTTTGCCGTAGTACTCATGGTAAGACCTGGACCCGGACCGATTTAATTTTTCGTTTTGAGGTCCCTAGAGGCCAAAAACACCATCCGCTCAAATTCATATACATATATTTATTTATTTATTAATATATATATATATATATATTAATAAGCAAAATAATAAAAACCAGAATATCCTGAAATTCATTTTTTATTTAAACTGATACGTATTTCGGCACTAAGGCCATGATCACAGTATGAAAGTATGTAAACAATTAAAAAATAGTTATTTTAATTGTTTACATACTTTCATAACACTCATACTGTGATCATGGCCTTAGTGCCGAAGTACGTATCAGTTTAAATAAAAAATGAATTTCAGGGTACTCTGGTTTTTATTTTTTATTTTTTTTTTTTGCTTATTAATTGAAAAAGTGAACAGAACTATCAAAAAATATATTTATATATATATATGTTTCCGTTAGCGCGATAACTCGAGCAAAAATAATCCGATTTTGATGAAATTTGGTACAAACGTGTAAACCTACATTTATTCGAACGAGTTCGCGAACCAGCATAATCGGACCATGGGAACGGGGGTTTAGGGGGGGTTAATGGGGGGTTTTATGGGGTAAAAATGTGTTTTCCCATTTTTGACCCTAAAAACAAAATGTTTTGAAATTTCTTTTCATACCGTTTTGTAGAGCTTAAAAAAGAAATAATTTAGCGTATTGAAGCGCTGTTGTATGCCTAACGGTCACAGAAAAAATGTAAAAATAGTGTAATTTAAAATTATCATGTTGTTATTTTTATGGAGAAAATTAAAACTGTTGTAATTACTTGTTTATGGACATATATTGATAAAATTTGGCAAATTTATTTATTTCATCCTATACTATTGACGTCAAAAAACATTTTTTACCTTCCCTGTAGCAGCAAACCTAAGCACTCGTTAAATCTAATGTTATTTAAATTGGGAATTATTATTTCTTATTTATGGAAATATGTCAGTAAAAATGTAATCAGACAAGTTGAAATTCGCTTAGTCTGCAGGTTTGCTGCGACGGGGGTATTATAAATATATATGCATAAACAAGTAAACTACAACAGTTTTAATTTTCTCCATAATAATAGCATGGGAATTTCAAATTACTTTATTTTTGAATTTTTTTTCCGTGACCGTTAGCCATACAAACAACAGCGTTTTAATATACTATTTTTTTTAAGCTCAACAAAACGGTTTAAAAATAAATTGCATTTTTTTGTTTTTAGGGTCAAAAATGGGAAAACCCCATTTTTACCCCCCTTTTTTGGTTGGGGGTAAATAGAAATGGGCCATGGCGCAAGACCTGCAATTGAGCCAAATTTCAGATCCTTAGCTAATCTAAAAGTGGGTAAAATTGATTTAGACCGATGCACCTGTAGGAATAACGTTGGGGGGATTCTAATTTTCGTGGGGGGGGGAATTATATTTGTAAATTTTCGGCGCAAGATCTACAATCATGCCAAATTTCAGATATCCAGTCAATCTAGAAATGGGTAAACGTGATTTAGAATTATGGACCTGTAAGAATAACATTGGGGTGGATTTAATTTGTTGGGGGGGTGGTTGTAAATACGATAGGGGGATAAAACCTTAAGTAAACCAGAGTAAATCTATAGCATGAACATACTAATTACTAATAGTATACTAATTAATCTCGAACACCTGCCAAGCCAGTGCACAGGCTGCATTGGCCATACACTGAGAGTTGTTGCTGTCAGTGAATCTTGGATCTCCTTGGTGAAAGGATCCGACAGCAACGCAAGCAAAGTCCATGATGAGCGAACCAACTCAAATTCACGAAGAAAGCAGAAAAATACTGATAAACTGAGACAAGCTCTAATTCCACAAGTGTAAACAAATGTAGAAAAAATCAGATATATATATAAACATATATACCATATGAACCATATCTTATATATGAATTTGAACGGATGGTGTTTTTGGCCTCTAGGGACCTCAAAACGAAAGATTAAATCGGTCCCGGGTCCAGGTCTTACCATGAGTACTACGGTAATAGCTTATTCCCTATATGGGAAATTCGCAAAAAAAAGGAGTTAATTGAAAAAAACAGTATTTGAAAAGTACAAAAGACGTCACAAACTAGTTATTTGGTACAGTCTGGATTGCTCTAATTACTATGTTTGTAAAGAGATGAGAACATCACATTCTATAAGGAGACAAGTCGCTTGTTAATTATGAGTTTGACGGGTGAAAAGAAGCGTCACGAAAGTTTGGGCAAACAAGGAACAAAGGCGGATCGGATAACATCAAGTTGTAGACGAGCATTGTAGCGTCCCTCGGGGTCAGGGGAGGGGGTGAAATCAGGTGAGGACTGAGGAGTAGCTCATGCTTAATTAAACATATACCGGTAGCCCGGGGTGCGGAGTAGATCAGGAGCGGAGCACCAGTAGCGGAGTAGCGATGGAGGCGACCGAGACGAACAAGGATCAGCAGTCACGGTGTTGTAGTACCAACTTTACCATAGAACACATCCTGCAGCACGCAGGCAGACCGCGACAAGACGCGACCACCACGGCCACGACCACGACCACTTCGCAACAACTGTACGACTGGCTAAACTGCACGCGCTACCACCCGCCCAAGCTTAATAGTGAGTCTGCTAATAATTTATTAATTTAATTTTAAATTAATATATTAAGTGTTTTGTTGCGTATTATTAATTTCCCAACGACAAATTTACCACAATAATTATGAATTATTAGTGCGCATAAAATAATTTTGTATGCGTAGACATATTGAATGATATTTTAAATAGTCGTAGTCTTAATTTTAAGTGAATTTGCCTGGGTTACAATAATTACAGATTCCTAACGAACTATGTAGCTAGAGACCCGCAAATCAGGACATACATTTTGAATCTATGTGCTGTACCTGCTGCATTATGTATGTGCCACACTGTTGTACGTACTTGGTTGTTGAAAGTAAAAATATCCCCACCGCAGCAAACCAGCAGACTTAGCGATTTTTAATTTGTTTGATTGGATTTTGACTCAATTATTTCCATAAAGAAGTTATATTTATTCCCCAATTAAATAATATTAGATTTTACGAGTACTTAGTTTTACTACTACGGAGAAAAAGGAAATTCTTTTTTTATAAAACGTTCATAGTATAGGATGAAAAAAAGAAATTTGCCAAATTCGATCAAAATACATCCATAAACAAGCAAACTACATCAGTTTCCTCTATCCTCAGAAGAATAAATTAAGAATTTTTAAATGCACAGTTTTTTTATATTTTCTCCGATAACTTAATCTTACAACAACGCATAAATTTACAAAATCGTTTGTATTTTAATCTCTACACGATGGTTTTATTAAAAGTTGTACATTCCCATTTTTATGATTAAAAATTGATTATTTTTGAAGACTTCTAAAACTCCATATCACTCCATTTCTTATGGCCCGATCTTATATAATATACTAGCAGCGAAACCCGGGGTTGTCCGGGTCAAAATACAATGCACTATAATGGCTATAAGAAACTAATTTGAAATCAACAATGAAGTGTCTGGTATCGCTCAGTTCATATTAGCTTGATTAATTTGATTCCCTTTTCATACAGCGCCTATCTGCAATTTAATCGTCCAAATGTACATGCCTTTCAAAATTTACATTCTGTATTCATTTCCCCGAAAGCAATACTTAGATGTTCGTAGTATTTTTATCTGCATAATAACGAAACGCTTGAAGCTCTAACCATTCGTTTGCAGCGTTGTTGTCCTTTTATGGCCATTCCTCGGCATATTTTTTTATAAACACCTCTTTTGCCCATTATTTTTTATATTTTTTGCTTATTGCACTCTTTTACTTGATACTCAAAAGCCGTTGTTGTGTTTCTTCAGTTTTTCTGAGCATTCATATAATATAGCGAGAACAACAATTTCCTGCGCTTAGGCTTTTTTAAACTCATACTAGTGGCTTGTAGGGACGTAAGTCCCTAAAAAGCTCAATAATGTAAAACAAATTATTCTAATATTTAAAAAAAGTTAGAATTATACTAGAACTGGCCCGTGGTCAAAAACTCGACCAAAATTATGTATTGTGCAAACTTCTCTATTTTTACACCACGCTGTAAATAAAAACATGCGATTGGAACTTCTTCAATTTGTTTTGATTTTCTGATCTTAATTTGTTTTTATTTTGTCACCAAAATGACAACCCATACTCCTACTCCTCCCATACTCCGAAGCATTTAAGTATTGCAGATACATTAACCTAATTATCACAAACGGCAACCACAATCCACACTGCTTGCCTTTACTACTTCATACGCCACTTCCTAGGTCCTGATTTAAGTATTGCAGATCCATTAATCTAACTGCCACATACGATTCACACACTCCGCACGGCTCGCCTTTACTACTTCCTTCACCACTTCCTACGTCCTGGACCTATTTCCCTCCCTTCAGATAGCATTTAAGTATTGCAGATACATTAATCTAGCTGCCACAGACGGTTCCCACACTCCTCACGGCTCACATTTACTACTTTCTTCACCACTTCCTGCAACATGGATCTTTTTCTTTCCCTCCCCATATCGTTCTTTGAATGATTCTGATTTCTCATCAAAATCATTTAGCATTGAACTTATTAAACAACACGGATACAATTTACAGACTTAAGAAGCCATCAATTCTGGACCAGCCCTTCAGATTTTTGTAAAGTAGTGTTTTATTGAAAAACTTGTTGACAGTGTTTAACAGCTATTTTTAAAGCTCAAAAGTTAATTTGTTGTATTACATGGCATTTACTTATTGTTCAACATATTATAGAATATACTGTAAAGTAAAGTAAAAAAAACACATGTTAGTTTTTTTTGAAAATTCAAACTCATTTTATTTTAGTTTATAAAGGGATTCTGCACATCCACAGGTAAATATATTTCATTTGGTACCAACCGCGTGTAATTCGGTCCAGTAGTATAGTCAGGCTAGCTGTCATAAGTTTTGCAAAAGTTGTTTAGTATATAAGATGTGCCAGAATATATATCCCTGTACACCATATCTTTTGTGTAAAAATAGCTTGTTGTTTGTTTTTGTTTGCTTTTGTTGATGTGTTTTGTGAAGTGTTCGTAATGAAATGAAGAACTTGAAAATGACAACAAAATAAATATTTAAAATATTGTAGAAAATATTGACAGTAGGTAGAAAAAAATTTTTTCATGTAAACTTCAAGATACCTAAACAAATTGTTTGGAATTTATTTCCCTACATGGGAATGTAAAAAAAATCCAATTACCATTTATACTGTACAAAGTTGTGGTCCAAAAACAACAAAATTACAAGTTTTACGATTTTGCACTACAAATTACAAACGAAAGCCAAATTATCAAGAGATAAAGTAAAAGTTAAAATCGTTAGGCAATAATATTTTAGATCAAATGAAGTAAGAGTTGTATATGTAAAATGATCATTTCAATAAATGTTTATGACTTTTAATAAATGTTTATATTTGTCTAGAAAACATTTTGTTATTCACACATGTAATTGTATATTATTTTTCCTACAGTCACCCGACCAAGTTGGCTTCCTTGTACTGTTTATAGTACAGAAAGCTGCTAATTGCTGCATATTTATACTTTGTCGTACGGTTTATACTTTGGCGCACATCAGGATTCCAACGGAACAACACAAAACAGCGTGGTTCTATTATGCACGTAATCCGTGTACGCATGGAAATAGGTTGGCAACACTTAAAGATAATAATACTATGAGCCGCTGATTGACTATTATAACTACGATTTAACCTGTCATTTCGTGTTTATAGTTTCGGTTTTTCTGAACTTTCTGGAATTTTCTTTTAAACGTTTTTAAAACATTCCTACGATCTTAATAAACAAGAAAATACCTTTAAAGCATTTTTTAGGCACGGAAACCACTTCAAATTACAAAAACATACGGAACTATATTCTCTAGTTGCGGAGCACATTTCTTGCGGAGGAAAAATAGCGGAGTGATACGGACCGGGTACTACTTTCTCTAGGGCACCTATTTGTGTTGCCAGCTGAACCTAAAAACGTGTTGTATCGTTATGAAAGGCTAATTATTTATATGCTTTATAGTTACTGTAGGAAAAATATAATGTGTAGCACGAGTGCAAAATGCCTTTGCTGCACTCGAGATCATTCCTAACAAACATAAACATTGCTCTCGTGTGCAGAAAAGTGCTACTTTGCCCACTAGTTACACAAATAACTATTTCAAACTCATAAACAACACATGCCAACTATATAATACCCCCGCCGCAGCAAACCTGCAGACTAAGCGAATTTCCATTTGACTGATTGGATTTACACTGAAATGTCTACTTATAATATAACATTTATTCCCGATTTAAATAGAATTAGTTTAACAAGTACTTAGGTTTGCTGCATCAGGGAGGGTAAAACTGTTTTTTTTTTGTAAAATGTTAATAGTTATTAAGAAATAAAAACATTTTCCAAATTTGATCAAAATATGTTCATAAACAAGCAAACTACAACAGTTTACTCATTCTCCATAAGAATAACATGGGAATTTTAAATTTACAATTTTTTGGAATTTTCTCCGTAACCATTAGGCGCATAATAACGCTTCAATATACTAAATTATTTGTTTTTTGAAGCTCTACAAAATGGTTTGGAAATAAATTGCTAAATTTTATGTTTTTTGGGTAAAAAATGGGAAAAACCTATTTTTACCCCATAAAACCCCCCGTAAACACCCGTTCCCATGGTCCGATCATGCTGGATCGCGAACTCGTTCGAATAAACGTAGGTTTACACGTTTGTACCAAATTTCATCAAAATCGGATCATTTTTGCTCGTGTTATCGTGCTGACGGACACATATATATAAATATATATATATATGAATTTGAACGGATGGTGTTTTTGGCCTCTAGGGACCTCAAAACGAAAAAAAAAAATCGGTCCTGCGTCCAGGTCTTACCATGAGTACTACGGTAATAGCTTATTCCCTATATGGGAAATTCGCTAAAAGAAAGTAATTTTAACAAATCGTTTGTTCATTTTGACGAAATGTTTCAAAAACGGGCTGAATGTAATGTCCTAGACCTCAAATTAAGTAAGTATATCCACATAAAACAGTTTACAAACTAAATATGTACAAATTTTCAACCAATAAATATGATTAAAGTGATAAAGTCATACCCGCGATATTCGTTGTTGGTAAACAGTTAATGAAGTTCACAAAACCCGGCCAAAAATAGTGTCTTAAGTTTCTAAAAGTAATGTCACATTTCAGTCGAGGCACAATAAATAATATCGAAACTAAACATTTACAACTTTACAAATTATAATCATGATGTAAACTGATAAAGTAAAATCACACCAAAACTCTACTTGTTGGTTAACAAAGATTGAGGTCAGTTAGTCAGACATCTTTATTTTAATGGATTGAAATATGTATAAATAATAAAAGGTAATTGATAATTTTAAATTATTTTCCTTCTTGTAAAAGTACAAAATACTAGTGTTTTTATACAACCTCTATGTATTTTATATAACCTCAATTAATTCTAAAAGGTATGAATAAATAATAAATAAATACAATTAAAAATCCATACATTAAGATACATTCGAGCAATAC